AAAAAAAATCTTCATTTTTTTTTTCTTGATTACAACACTCTTATTTCGTAATTGGCGTAATGGTTTACTAGAAAACCCTTACAAAAAATCCTTCATAAAATTTAAAAACATTAAGACGAGCCTGACAACTATTTTTTTTTTTTTTTTAGTCGCTATTTTGTTAACTTAATTTTACCGCAAAAAGTTTTATTTATTTTTTTTTTTTTTTATTTTTTATTTTGCAAAGCTGAAACAACACTTTCAGACATCATGTCATATTTCCTTTTTTTCTTCTTCATTTCTTTTGTAAAAATCGTTTAGTTTCGTTAAAAATTTCGATGCGGTTTCACAGTGGGAAAATGAAACGGAACAAAAAGTCGATTTTCGGTTAAAAACCACACACACACACACATATGATATTATTTGGTAATCTGTATGAATATTCCAAAGGTGATATAAATCTAGAGCTCAATTAAAAACAGAGCAAATAATAATTATTAAAAAAATGAAAACTTTAAGAGATCATGGTGATATTTTATTTAAAACTGATATTCGTTCCAACTCATCAGATCTCTTTGAATTGGAACCGATATAAAATATCATCATGATCTCTTAAAGTCTTCATTTTATTATAATAATAATAATAATAATATATATATATATATACATACACACATTATTTTTAATGGATACTTGTATTTGAGTGGATGCTCCATTTATTTTTAAACAGTGTATTTATTTATTTCCATCTACCGGCCTGAATACTGGGAAAATCTTATTAGAGAAAAATATGTACTCTCTCTAGCAGAGTGCATATTTTTCTCTAATAAGATTTCTCAAATATTCAGGCTGGTTGTTGAAAATAAATAAACAGATCATCTACTCAAATGAGTATCCACTAAAGATAATGTTCAAGTAATAAAAATCTGTCAGAATAAATAAAAATTTTTTTTTCCTTTTATTTATTGATATATACACACACACACAATACATACACAGTAAAATATGTAAATGCCAGTTTCAAACTTAAGTAATCTTTTGTGGGTGTGTGCATATGTATATACACAGATACGCGCTTGAAAAATTGCCTAACTGTGCAACCAGCAGTTACACTCACATTTCTTCTTAATTTGATTTTATTATTATAGCAAGTCTATCCATTCTTGTACAATGCTGTGTGATTGCATGTTTGTTAGCATTTATAACATATTTGCAGGTTATTTAAAGCCAGAAAATATTTAAATTGTAAGAATTTTGGGGAGACTAATGATTTATTGATGCAAGTCCTACTATTTAATCCATAGCTGGGAGGGGTGAAGAAGAGGATTCATATCTTTCCAAATACTATTTGTGTGTAAATGAATAAAATGAACCTGACTGGAATTGTAGCTTTGTTCTCCAATTTACAATTGCAATTGTAAATTGGAGAACAAAGCTCCACCCGCACCTCCAAACTTACAGCACTTTGTATTCCCAAGCAGTCACCCATTTAGGTACTAACCATTTATGATGTTGCTTAACTTTGTTAATCATATGAGAACCAATGTTTCAACGTGATATGGCCATAAGCCATATCACCTGCACATTCAAGCTTATAGTACCTGGTATTCCCAAGGGGTCACCTATTTAGATACTGACTAGGCTTGATATAGTTTAACTTCCGTGATCATACAAGAACATATTTTTTATAAAACTATTGGATTATCTTTATGTATCATATATATTTATTGTGTTTTGTTACATGACACAAGGGCACAAAAATTCATCATTGTACTTGAACATATTATCGTAGTAATTGGCTCATGGTAAAAAAATTTCTTTGACATTGTTCCATAAGTAGGTATCAAAGAAAGATGATGATTATCATCTGGTATTAACTTGGACAAGTAACATGAGAAATAATGATGTCTGAGGCACAGAAGTGATTAGAGTTTATAAAACCATTTGTTTTTAACTACATATCTTTATATTTGTAGTAAACTTCTGCTTCATTAGCAGAATATAAACAGCTTACAAGATGACAAACTATTAGACTCGTGCAATCTTGTGCTATGTAATTATATTTCTATATAAAAAAAAGTAAAATATATCATTGGCTCATAAATAACCTAAAAAATTTTGTTGATATTGAATTCTGTATCAGGAACATGGAGGATTGTGAGGATTCTTGATTAAAGTTAATTTACCAAAAAACTGTTGATATTTTTAGCTGGAATAAAAACTAAAAGGAATCCTTGTTTTTGTTTACCTCTCTTATTTTCCTTGTCTTTTTACATTTCATTATTTTTCAAAATTGCAGTCAGAAACCAGAATTAAATGAGACAATCGTAAGCCAGCCCTGAAAAGATCTATTTTTAACAAAATCTAAAGCAACTGACAAAATACAAACTGAAGCAATTCTAAATCTCCAAGATTTTTCTTTTTTTTGCACTTCATTTTTCTCTTTCTATTTTTTCTTTTGTTTCTTTTCTTGTTTCAATTTTCCATAGGCGTTTGGTAAGAATCCTCTACTAAGTTGAAAAATAAAGTTCCTGAATTTTCAAATTTCACAACCAGACAATAAGTTTTTATTATTCTGCACTAAAGCATTCCCATTTATTTAATGACTGGTCTTATCTTTATTGTTTTAATAAATACATTTTGGTCATGCCTAACATGAGACAAAAAAATTATGGAAAAATAGAATTCTTGAGAGCACCTACCCTAAAATGGAGACACATCTCTCTCTTTCTCTCACTTCCCCTTCTCTACCACCCTCACTCCCCCTAATATCTCTCTCTCTCTCTCTCTCTATCTATATATATATATATATATATATGAGACAGAGTGGACATAGAGATCAACAGTACATGGTAACTGTCATTTTCAAACTTCCTGTTCTGAAGATGATTTGGGAAGTGTGAAACTGGCAGTCATTGTGCAATGTTAACCCCTATGTCCACACAGTCAGTATCAATAAACACTATTTCACTACAAATATAAAAAAATAACTAATATATATATATATAGTTTATGAAAAACTAGGTAATCCGTATGGGTAAACCTAAGGAGGATAAAAAATCAGAGAGCTCAATGTAAATCCAGAGCAAATAATTTAAATAAAAACAGACCACTTTAAGGTTCCATGTAATAAATTATTTCACCACAGCCCTTTAAAGGACTGCGGATCACCAGACTTTACTTCCAAACAAAAAATGAAAAGAAAATTTACACATTTTTGACGGGCCGTATTAAACATATGTAAATTACCGAAGTGAGGAAGTGAGAGAGAAGACATGAGTGAGTTAGCAGATATGGAGAAATATATATATATATATATATATATATATATATATATATATATAATTTCCATTATCAGGAAATCTTTGTGACTTGTCAAATGGGGAAGAGAGGAATTGGGTGAAAGAATAAAGCTAGCTACATTCAACTTGCACTTGAAGGCAAGAGAACCAACCAAAAACCCCCAAAGAGTGAGGATTATGTTGTATGAATAATTCATTGAATATTAACTCTAAATATGTTGTTATTATTATTTTTTTTTTCCTGTATATTTGTTATTAGCTGAAATCTATATTAGTGACTTTATTTGCTTAATCTTGTTAATTGCTAAATATATATTCATTGATTTCATTGGAACCAATTTTATGTCTTTTCAGATCTTCTGATTCTCCTCTTTCCTTTTGGACCATGAGTGGGCCCCCTGGGACGTAAGTGCAAATCAAAATATTTACAAAAAGCAATTTCAATGAATTTTTATTTTTCCTTTCATAATTGGCACATTGAAAATAAACGTTTATAACCAAAAGATTCAATTTATTTTCTAATTTTAGTTTTAAAATAATTTACTTTATCACAGTGCATATTCTGATCAGAGACACATCCTGCTGTCAAATTTTTACAAGTTTACATATTTAAATCTTTTACAATGGAAGAAATAGATTATTAATTAATTATTGTTTTAGTTGATATTAATTAAGAAATGTATTTTGGTATGGGAAGAGTTTTTGAAAGTTTTATTTTCTCAATCATTTTGTCAAGTTGTTTGTCTCAAGAAAAAGCAAGAAACTAATCATTTGGAAACTATTGTCAAGACGTCTATAAAACGTCAAAAGACTCCGATTTTTTTCACTTTAGTTGACCTGATGTAGAGTTACCATGATTATTAACAAAATTGATTTTGAATTACCTATTAAGAATATGTGGTTTGATAAATCATTGATAATAAGTTGGTTTTATTATTATTATTATTTCACCCCAAGCAATGTGGGAAAGCCACTAGTATGCAGGGGATTATAGAGAGTGAAATTGAGAGAAAAGACTGAGTAAGGAAAGAATAAAAGCTGAACAGGGTTCAAGAAGCAAGTAAATGGAAAGGAGTTCCACAGGTGGGAAGTACGAGAAAAGAAACTGTTGGAGTAAAAGTGGTAGGTGTATTTAACTATTTTAACAGTAGAAGGATAGGACCTAGATGCCAATCTAGTAGCACGTTTAAATTCATGCAGTTGGGACACGAAGGAAAAAAAAGGCTTGTCACAGCAGTTGCCATGAAAATATTTGTAGAAAAGACAGAGAGGAGCCATGTTGGCGAGAAAGTGACTGAAGTGAAGATGCCAAGTCAGAATCGATTGCATTGCAGATGCTTTGAATTTTATCAAGAAGCTCGAGATGAATAGCAGGAGCATCAGACCAGATATGGCAGCAGTATTCAATGCAGGGGCGAATGATGGAACTTTGATTTTTAATTTGGGATTCTGTCCATGTATGTAGCCTTGTGCCAACATTAACTTTATTTTTAAAAAAAAAACACTTAATGAAGAGAATTAATGATAGAAGAAAATTAAGATATTATTTTGATTTCATGAAAGTTTAAAAATATACAAAAAAATAATTACTTTTTAATATTTTCATTTGGCATTCCTAACAATTATTTTTGGAGTTCATAATTATCTCCCTTAATATTCACATGTTGTGAATGATTAACAAAGCTGCTGATGATGATGATGCCTGGGATATTAATCTGAATGCTTTTCAGATTATTCCTTTCTTCTTTGTCTTTTCTTTACACTGATTCTATTGACTCAAACAGCTCATCAGTTGGACACAGCATCATAAAACTGTGCATCTCTTTTACTTTCCCTTCATATAGCTATATAGATATAGAAGTGTGTCCATTGTAAGTCATTATCTACTAATTATCTTATCACTTCTTCACACAAAACACTAACTGAATGTTACCACAAAGTCAAAATATCTACTGACATGTTGACACATAGCAGGTTTTATATTAACCAGGAAATTGTTTTGTACTTTTTATAAAAGAACAGTGCTGATCGCATATAAGTTACCAACAGCTGTCAAAATTTTTATTTTCACAGGTGTTAAATAGTTATCTTAAAACTAATTTTTATTTATTTTTTTAAATCAATTCACCCCAAGCATGACAATAATGCCAAAAAAACACGATGGACAACCGGGAGAGAAAGACTTAAGAAGGAACTGGAAACACACTCCTAAACAGGAAACAAGGGATAAACCTCTACTCCTGTTCGGAAGACAGGGGAGAAGTGTGAACTGGATAATAAGCAAACATATCTACTCCTGTTATCTTAAAAAATTTAACTTTTAGCACTGTATAATTAATGACTTCCCTTTTCACTGCATTCTTTTTCAAGGTGTCACAATTGCAGTAAGCTTATTGTTAATTTCACTCAAAGTTGGTTTTCTGTTGCCATAGCAGGATATGATAACACAACTATGAAATTCAAATACACTATTGTTCAGGGATCAGTCACCTTCAGTGACAAGATAAACTTTTTGTATAGCAAATGAAGTCACATACTGAGGGATAAAGGTCAAATGCAATGCAACAAAATTTTACTTCATAATTTAATTTTCTATACCAATAACTATTAAGCCTTTCACATGTCCTTTTTTTTTTCTTAAATCATTTTATCCCAAGCAAGGTGATAATGCCACTAAGATGCAATGGGTTTCTGAAAGTGAATTAGAAGTGAGGAGAAAGGGCAATAAATATATCACAAGAATATGACAAAAGATTTGATGGAGCAGAACTTTTTCTTTTATTCTTCAGTAATCCCTCTTAGGCTAAATTGTATCTCCAACAAATGCTTTGAAAGAAAACTAGAACAGAGAATATTGAAATCAAAAGAAAATCTCATTCAAAGTTTTAGCAACAATATATATCCCATTTGATATCCAATCTGATATCTTAGCTGATAATTTTTATTGAGCTTTGAACAAAATTATTTTTCTGGTCTATACTTTTTTTTTCACAAAAAGCAAAAAAAAAAAAATTAATTGTATCCATTTCTTTTGTAACCCTTTACCAATTCTTTAATATGTCCCTTCAAGACATAGCTGATCTTGACTCTCCACAGTTTCCTTTCTCTAATAGCTATAAATTGCCATGGCTCTTTGGGAAAGATAATGGAATGATTCTCCTTGGCTTTAAAGTCAGGTTTTTCCTTCTCTTAGATTGATTGCTGTCTAACTCTAGAGAGTCCTGTTTACCATGTTGTTTAAGCCACTTACTGATTTTATTTGATCTGCTTATAGACTTTAGCAGGTTTTTGAATCAAAATTAAGCCAATTCTTTTTATATAGATGAACATTTATTTCTGTTAGGAATCCTATATTTTAAACAGCACATATCAGAAAGCAGAAGCTTTTAATTTCTGTTTATAGCATTTTGAAATATGCACATGTATTTTTTGTTTATCGTTAGAACATTCTCAAGATTGAAATTGTCTTACTCTTAATTCTGACGATTATGTTCATTTAAGTGTTGCTTATTGATGTTTTTATTATATGTCAGTAAATTTTGAAAATGGAAAAGAATATATAGATATTTGCTGGCTAATGGCCATCATCATGACTCAGCCAGTGAGTCATGAATTCACAGTGAAGGATTTTTTTAAAGTTATTAGTTGATAAGTCACAGCAAGCACTCTCTAACCAAATATATGACCTTTTTGACCTTTGTGGGTGTAGTGGCATGGGTGAGGGTTGATAAGCTTAAGGGAGGATTTCTCAGTGCATAAATTAAAAAAACAAAACAAAAAAACAAAAGAGGCACATGAAAGAGAGAGCCTGAAAATGGGGTGCAGTGTTATGTTTGGTTAAAACCAAAAAAAAAAAAAAACAATTCTTTCTAAGAATATTTCTGACTCATTGGTACAATTCTTTGAGTTCATTTCTTGATTTCTCATTCTTGCTTTTTTTTATTCTTTAAATGGAATTGTTAGCCAGGTCAAGGTGAGAGATATCATAAATTGATTAGTTTGAGAAATCCATCACTATTTCTTGTGATGAAGATGGAATTAACGATGGTGCAATGTTCTAAAAGAGAAGACACCAAGTCATTTAAGTTCCAGAAACTTAATCTGAACTCACGAATTAGTAACAAAGTTTTTGATGAAGGTCAATAAAAGAGTCGTAAAGAATTTAATTTTTTATATGACTTAAGATCATTAATTCTTCATTTTTTTTTTTTTTTTTTTTTTTTTTTTTTTTATGTGCCAGGCTCTTTCAGGATGTAGATGATCATGGTTCTCTACAACTTCCACTTGGTCTAAATAACTTTCAGCCCTTTTGCCATCAGTTGTCTCTGCTCTATTCTCCATTCACTCAAGCACATTAAGTTGGTTACTTGCTGTTTCCCTTGCCTTCTGTATGTTTTCTAAGTGTTAAATTCTTTAAACCCTCTTTCCTCATTATGCGTCTTGGAAATTTCACTTGTTTCATTCTGATTGTAAGTATCAAGAATTAAGATAATTAATCAAGAAGCAGCAGAGATTTGTGAACATGGGAGTGTGTGAGAAGTAGAAAATATCCTATAGAGGATAACCACAGGAACACAAGGATGAAAACTAAAATATGGTAGATATGGCATGTGATATGTTTTGGGGGAAGAAACACATTCCCCCACTCACTTCCAGGATTCAACAACATTTGGGAACACAACAGACAGAGTAAGGCAAGAAGGAATACAACCAAAATGATATGAAAAAAAATGCCAATGAGAAGGAAATTAGTCTAAAGAAAACTGTCTACAATGATTTAAATGAAATTCAAAGAGGAAATGGTAAAGATGCCCTTGAAGCACATGGCAGCATTCCTTATTGGCTTCTTTAACTATTTGACAAGTTTATTCTTCAGTTTTTATCATTGCCATTAGGAATTGGTGTGTTACCAACTGCTTTTTCTTACGATTAGTCAATACACAAGAAGAATGACTAAAGCTGAAGGATGTTAGGGAGTGGCATGTCTCCAATAAAATCTTTCATTTTCTAACCAACTTTCTCACTGATCCTATCACATTTTTCCCACTCAAATTTGATCTCTTCAGTTAAGGTTCATGGTTTAATTTTACTATAAAATTCAGTGACGGTTTGAAATTTATAAAGCATCATTTGATTAAATCAACAAACTACTGGCCATAAAATCCAGAGTTCAATTCCATATTCCCTTATGAGTCAGTGAAGTTGATTACTATATGAAAACTAATAAGATATATTCTTCTTTTAATGTGCTATGTCTCTTCAGGACATGGGTGATCATGGCTCTCTACAACTTCCTATCCTTCCTAGCTCTAAGTAATGTTTGTCTTTTTACTGTCCCTCCAACCATTTACACAAGTTCATTATCGTGTAGGCACTTCTTTTTCCCTCTTCCCCTTTTACCTCCAATGAGTGTCAAATTTACCAAGCCCTCTTTCTTCATTATGTATTCCAGAAGTTTCAACAGTCTTTTCATTTTGATTTCTTTTTGCTTCTAAGTACAAATGTCCTTTTTCTTCCTATTTTCCTTAAAATTTCCTCATTGCTCGCTTGTTTCCTCCATGGAATTCTCGGCATCTTTTTGTAGAACCACATTTCTCTTGCCTCCAGTCACCTCTTCATCTGTGCATAAATTGTTCAGCATCCACTGCCATAAAGGAGAATTGATATTACATAGCAGTTCAGTTGAGCTTCTTTTACTGAAAGCAATTATATATTTGTTGATTTATTAATTAATTTTAAACTTTAAATAAAATAGTTGTTTTACTGAATTTAATATCAGAATTTTATTTGTGGTAACAAACCTCACTAGTTTTCATTTTTGGTAGGAAACTGAAATCTTTCAGCCACCAGATTTCTGCCACTTTGACAAACTGGCAAATCTTCAGCTACAACTATAAGTATATTTAATTTGCATACTCATGGATGTGCAACATAAGGTCACTTTTGATGCAGGTAGATGCTAAACAAACTACCTGCTCTGTCAGTATTTGCTGTAGACCTCAAGTCCTACTTATGACTTTACCACTTGGCATTCATCATTGCTTATTAATTTTATCAACATGGCCACAAATAAGCTAAAAATCAAAATATTTTGGTCGTTTTAAATCCTTTCATTTTTTTTTTTTATTACAAAAAATCAAAATGGTTGACTGCTTTCCAAAATTTATTGTGACTTGTTGAAATGCTTGACCACTTTCCAAAATTGTTTCCCTAGTGTACCAAAGTCTGGGAAACAAATACAAATTGTCTTCATATAAAATCTTGATAATAAGTCAAGCTCACTATCAACAGCTTTTAAGGCAGAATCATTTAAGGACTCAAAAATGGAGAATGTGTAAGCCAGACAGAAATATATATATAGATAGGTATTTATAATGTCATTAGAGTTATGGAACATTCCATGAGAATCCAACTATGTAACAATGTCTTTTAAGACAAATTCCTAAAAATTTGCATAAAGATAATTTTCATGGTAATGTCTTAAATTCCACAATGATATACAAATTATTCAAACTAGCATCTTTATCTTGTTGTTTTGATCACCATGCTACAGCAGTTATACTCTCTGGGGTGAGCCAATGTTATAAAAATATGATCAAAACAATAAAGACAAAGATGTTAATTAATGGTATATAATTCTTAATTGATTAAAAATGTATTTTTTCTCTTAGCATATAATACTTACCCTCTCAATGTATTTTGGTGGCGAGTGGTGGGGATATCTAGATTGACTACTTTCAAGCTGGTTTCTGCAGTTCTTCAATTCTTTGCTTACTCCATTGATTAATAGAGAACTTTAATGCCATCCAAAATATTTGATTCAGTTTTTGTGTTGCATTGATGAAGACAACCTGCAAGTAATTCCATGGGTAACTTCAAACTTCTGTTTTCACTCTTCCAATTCATGTTAAAACCAATTCCATTGATCTGTGTTCTTTGATATTTTGTAAAAATCCCAGTCGTAATTGAAAAGCTAGAAAAATTTACTTTTTCACATGAAATAGGTTTTTATTTAATCAGAGACTATTGTTCATACCACTCGGCTTTTACGTAACTCTCCTCCAATGTTCAAAAACCTTAATTGATTTCAGGGGGAGTAAAAAAGAAAACCTTTTTTTTTTTTTTGCAAATGTCTTTAATCAATTTAAAATATCTTTTTTTTTAATTTTTTTTTTTTTACTATTTGACTTTTTACTATGATCAAATGTTGCAGATAACTCATCTCGATATAATTCTTTTTCATCTTTCCCTATAAATTATACATTTTTACTCATGCTTCTGTTGTTGCTCTTAGAGGCATAGAAACAAATTTAATTTTTTCTCACTGAAAGGATTATGTCTAATTAATTCTGAAAAAATGATAATGTCACTTAGAGAAGCATAGAAAATTTAGTACATTGTTAATATTTTCTTTAGAAATAATGTTTAGGAGTTGTGGGTGAAGAAATTGGTTTTGGTTGGTGCTCAACATGTGGCAGATATTGAAATAGGTTACCTGCAGACAATCAACAGGAATGATGATAATGAATTATTGGTTTGAAAAACAAAAAAAAATTTATGGTTTTCAAATTTAGTGACATTTATGACTAAGTGGCATCTTTTTTTTTTTTTAAAGTCAACATTATCATATACAGAACTTCCACTTTTATTCATCCTAAACCACGTAATGTATATAATGTTTATATATGTACATTATATATATTCTAAAGGTTGTATAGGAAAGAAAATAGCAACTTACCTTGTCAAACCAAGCAACAGTATATCGTGTGTATCCTACGATGGAAAAGAAAATTACTTCCCAAAAAAAGGCCACGTATTCCGCATGACATACAGAAGACAGAATATTTAGATTAAAGACAAATCTATCGCAGGAGTCTCTATAAAAGTATTTTGATATGCAAAAATTTGGTGTCTTCTCCCAGTTGTTGACGAATGAAAAAAATGCTCGGCTGATAAAAGCAGTTGGTGTTCTCGAATTGGGAGAGAAAAATTGATGTATTTTGACTACCACATTTGTCGGTGAGTTAGTTATTTTTCTGACTGATCATGTGCATTGGGATTTGTGAGATAGTACCTGCGAATTGAGTTTTCGGCATTTCTTTCTACCCCTGATATTCAAGTCTGAACTTACAGTGATTTGTTCTCTGAATTGTAGAATTAATCTGCGACAAAAATTTCCTTTGCTTTCAGAACACTTACAGGTTGTTATACCCATAGGTGATAGTGTCAATAAAATGCTTCCATGGCATGTGTCTGAAATAGTCTGAAATAGTCTCTGACAACTAAGTCCAGTTCAAAGATGTAGAATGGGCAAAGATAGAAAATTAGCACCTCATAACCAGCTGCTTTAGGTAGATGGTGCTTGACTGCCCAGAAAGGCAGTTTTTCTAGGGGAAGGAAAACCCAAAGTTGAACCCTAAAGACAGTTGGTTGTCAACACTGACAACATTCTGGTAACTCCTGCAGCCAAGCTGTAATGTAATACTTGTATTCCTTTGGATCCTTTTCATCTGGTCAAGAGGGAGGCCATGAAGTCAGGGCAGTTTCTGTATACCATTACCCAGGCCAGCACTGTGGAGAGGTCACTCCAGTTTCACCACCAAAGAACTGAATTTTGACCAAACAGGATGCTATATTTGTCTCATGAGATAAAAGGATGACTGAACTAAAACAGGACATGGGCAGTCATGGCCCTCCACAACTACTTCCTCTTTGTAAGTCTTTTTTTTTTTAACTTCCCAACTTCATTTCCAACATCCATTTATGCAAATTTGTTAGGTAGGTTATTTGCTGTTTCCTTCTGTTCCTCTTGACCACAATCTGTCCTGTCAGTGTCAAATTCTCCAAACCCTTTTTCTTTATTTCAACTGCCTCTTTCTGATTCTAAGTTCAGATGTCCTTTTTGTTCCCATTTTCCTCAAAACTTCCTCATTGCTTACATGTTCCATCCATGGTATTCTCAGCAACCTCTGTGGCCTCAGGTCACCTCTTCCTCTGTGATAAAATTATCCAGTATTCACTGCCATCTAGGAGTACTGATATTATATAACAGTTTTGTTGTGATGACTACTATTCTACTCTCACTGCCACCACCTTGGCTTACTGCTACTACTCCTAACACAACCTATAAAAGCCATAGTCTTTATCATAGAAGAGTTTCTTTAACAACCTAGTAACATTCTATGTTGAATAAAGCTAAATGCTTTCTTCTTAGCACAAGTTCAGCACTGTTTTCTTTGTTTCTTTATAGACAGATGTAAACATTAATGCAACGCTTTTTTTTTTTTTTAAGAAATTTAGTGACATTTAAAGACTTATGAGTTACTTTGCAAAACTTCATCTCCAACCAAGATTCAATTAACAATCAAGTGACTTCAGTCTACATTACATTTAATAAATAAAAATGTGAAAAAGAAGTGATCGAAATAGTGAAATTATCAATTTCTGGGGTGAAATATAATCCAATCTTTCTCACCTAGTCTTCTTTCATGTTTTTTAGATAATATTTGTCTATAAAATCTTGAAAAGAAATTTTGCAATTATTGATGTCATTATTCTAACATTATGGAAATAGATTGAAGTTGGACATACAAATTGATCTTTTTAACATTTTATTGTTGAAAATATTGTGACTTCTTTTGCTATGTTCTCTTTACAAGAGCAAGATCTGACCAAAAAGAGAATATTGCTGGCATATTTTCTTTCTTTCTTTTTTTTAATCAATTCACCCCAAGCAAGGTGATAAAGCCACTGTTATGGAATGAAGTTTTCTTTGGTATTTTGTATGGAAATTTATTGTATGCAAATGAACATAGATTTTCTTTTATAAATTCTGCTGTATTTTGGGGAGAGGGATTATGTGGAGAGTTATTTGGCTCAGTTTCTTTTGTTGAATAAAGACTTTCTTAAGGTTATCACTGTCTCATCTTTCTGCTGTTTTGAATTGCTTTTAAATTCATAACAGCCACTAAGGTGCAAGGTGGGGGCGGGGGTTGCTACTGGGAGTGAATGAGAATAAAAAAAAAAAATTTAGAAGGAAATGGAAACCCAATCCTAAACAAGAAACAAGTGATAAAGCTCTACTCTTGTTCAAAAGACCATAACTGCACTAGATAGGAGGTTGTGGAGAGCCATAATTGTTCATGTTGTGAAGGAACACAGCACATAGAGAAAGAAAAAGTTACCATTTAGTTTTTCTTTTCTATAAATATTCAATTTGAAACTGAAAGTTGTTCTGTGTCTTTAATTTGAAAATAAAATCATTTCTTTTTAATGTCTTTATCACATTTTTTTATTTGCCTCAAAATCTTTTCTTTTTTTTTTCATTTTGCAAATGTGACACATTTTTCAATTCATTTATATTCTTTTAAGAAAATGAATGTCATTGTGACCATTCTTGCTTCTTACAGGGGGAATTTATTGAAATATTGTTGGCTTTTGTAGTAGATATTTAAAAGCTACAATTGTTTTCGAGAAAGTTGATAAAGCTTTTAAAGATGAGTTTCAAAACTGTCATTAGAGGATGTTTGTAATTTATCAACATATTTCTCTATTAATTGACTTGTTGTTGTTGAAAATAAGTTCTTTTCTTGGGTTGATGTAAAACATATAGGTTTATTTTGATCTACTTTTGATTCTATCTATTTTGGCTAGGAATGTACTGATCACTACTTTTCATTGGAAACTCTGGGGATACAAAAAAAAATCATGACAAATAGTTTTGCTTTTGTCAACCCCCCCCCTCCCCGCTTGGTTCTCTTATTGATTGATCATGTCACGATAACTTTTTATTTTTTTATTTTCCAATAAGTAGTTTCTCTCTCTATCTCTCTGTTTGGGAACACTTTCTCTTTTGCTCCGAAGAGTGAGAAGCAAGTAAACAAGATGGAAACTGGTGTGATTAAAAAAAAGAAAAGATAGCAAAAAATGTTTTTTTCATTGTTTTTTTCTACTAACTTCTCTGTCTAGAATGAAAATTATATCTTTTATCAGTTATTTTAACCATGGATATAAAGAGGTGCTGAAAAGTTTTCAGTACCCTCTTATAAATAACCATTGTTTAATGTCTTAGGTGGAGTAGAAAATCCATAATTACAAAGTATGAATTATATAGCAATCAAAACTGCACAATATTGGGTTCAGTTAAATATGGTCATTTTATTCAAAATATATTGAACAATTAGTCATACATAGTATTTTGAAGTAGGGTTGGTTTCCACCAATATATACAAGAGGGTGTTAAAAAGTTTTTTGATCTGAACCATTTTTCAAAATCTGACCATATGACTAAACATCAGGTTTTTTTTTTTTTTCTGTAATGTTTTTTTGTTTGTCTAAGAACTTTTCAACCATTACCAGGTTAACAACAAATTATTAATGTATATGAGCACATAGTCAGAATGTTCATTTTTTGACCATGAGATCCCGGGTTTTTAATCTCACCATGTTTGATTTGTCAGGAAGGAAACTTCCTGATGTTATCAGTCTAGAAGGTGCGATCCCAGCATGTTGCACCTTTAGAAAGTGCCTAAAAACCATACCATGCATACAAAACACAATATGTATCAATATATAATTCCCAGAGTGCACAGATACTACAATGAGGCAGAGGTTTAGGGAGTCTTAGGCTGGATACTGATCTGAAACAGAGGACTTGGGAGTTACATTTTCATCCTAGGTAGAATACACAGATACTACATTGATCTGAGGCAAAGGGCCAGGAAGCAACAGTTTGATTCTTAGCTGAATCTACAGATGTGACACAATGAAATTGTATCTGAGCCTGAAATATCTGGTGTTTATGACCAGCATTTAATCTTCAGAGCAGCCACCCACTTGACCAAAATAAATATATAAATAAATGAGGGTTTTAAGAAGTGGGTACCACTTGGACACATGGTCGAGTGGTTACAATGTTCGCTTTCTGACCATGTGATCACGGGTTCAGATCTTACCATGATCAATTTGTCAGAAAGGTGATTTCATTGTATTATTGGCTTGGAGGAGGAGGTAATGCCAGTGTGTAGCACCTTTGGAAAGTAACGGAAAACCATACCACAGGTTGGGTATGTGAGTAAAATTGGGTACACGGAACCCTTGGGGGGGCTGTTGATGACTGGGCTAGCAGAAAGTCACAAGTGATTGTGAGCGAGGGTTTGAGCATGCTGGCCTTGTTCGTATTGTTGATTATGCTAGATAACACTCTCCATCCCAGAAACTGTAATGAAAGGTCTGCTCTGCATAGTTGCAGTGTAAACCACAGGTGGGTTCTGTGGTTGTTGAACAAACACAAATGTACCTGAGTTGGCGTTTGCAATAGGGATTGTCTAGCCGCCCTAGTAGACAGGTATTCTCAAATACAAGTGGCTAGCTATTATTTTTTATAATTAGTATGTATAGATATATAAGTTTCAAAAGTTTTCTTAATTGGATGAGTAAATGTGTATTTCTATGATTGTATTTGAGTCATTGACCCCTTGTTTCCTTTTATGACCTCTCTTTCTCTCTCGTATTTGAGTTACTTAATGAGCTGCTGCCATTTTTCCAAATCTTTGTTTTTAGTAACAATGCATTAACATTAAAGATACGTTATAATTGGGTTGGATATTTTTAAATTAGTTTCGATGAAGATACACACAGATATACGAGTATATATATCTACATTAAGAAATAAAAGTCAACTGAAATTGCTGCTGCTTTTCTCTTAATTCAGAGATCATTAGAGTTCATCAAATAACATTAGTGATAACTTTCTTGTTTTACTGCCATTCATTTCAATGAGACTAGATTGGAAGGTGTTCACTTTTAAGTAGTTGATTACTATCACCAAGATTTATTCTCTCTCACACCAGCAGCCATACTTACCAAAGAATAGCAATTTAGAAAGTTTCTCATGAATAAATGGCAATCAGGAATTATATATAAATTGTCCTTTATACCTAATGAAAATGTTGTTCTTGTCTCTGCTTATTTGTTATTTAGAAAGTTACAATTTCCCTTTATTTTTGTTTGCTGGATATTTGCTTGTATTTTTATGCAGAATAAATCCACTTACCTTCAAAAAGGCTAAGGGTGTGTGTCTGCTGATGCCATTGACTCCATCATACAAAAAAAAAACCTAGGAAATTCTCTAACAAATTTTATATAATAAAATAATGCAAACAATGTTAAAAGTTCATGTTCAGGTAAGACATGTCAGTTTCATTGAGATGAGAAAACTATTCAATTCTGTTCAGATGAGAAGAGCGCCAGTTTCGTTTGGATGCGAAGTGACTCGAGTTTCGTTTGGATGCGAAGTGACTCGAGAGTTCGTTTGGATCTTGAGACTCAAGTTTCGTTTGGATCTTTATCTTCAGTTTCGTTTGATGCGAAGTGACTTGAGTTTACGTTTGGATCTGAAGTGACTCGAGTTTTGTTTGGATCTTGAAGTGACTTTCGAGTTTTGTTTGGATCTTGGTGACTCGAGTTTCGTTTGGATGCGAAGTGACCCGAGTTTCGTTTGGATGCGAAGTGACCCGAGTTTCGTTTGGATGCGAAGAGACTCCAGTTCTGTGAAGAAAACAAACCAACTGTGGTGTTCTGATCTCATCATGGTACCATTTGAATATGCATTTCAAATCCAACTGACAACTTGCACTTAATTTCAGCCATTTCTCAATGAGTTTAATTTTCATATTTCTACACTCATATACTATCTACTAAAAGCAATTCTTTTAGGTACATCTCTTGCATTCCCCTTCTTTTGCTCTAACTACAAACTCATTTAATCAATTAAAACTCCTAACTTAGTGATCATTTCCAGATGTTGTTTCTCAAGCTGCCCTTACTGGTTGTTTCTTCCAGATATTGTTTTTCTCCATCTTGTCCAGTGGTATAAGTAAAATAAAACAGACTTTTTTTTAATTGACCTCATTACATATTTATGAAAATGAAAACCAGTTTGTGAGTACCTGTTCTAGCCTTTGATATTCTATATCATATTTTATTAACAAGTAAAATTTGAAATCATAATCTAGCAGTTTAATCAACCAATCAATAACAACGATACCTGCAAAAGCCCTTTCTTGTTCTGCTATTGTTATTGCCACTACGTGTTGAAAAAAATTATTCATTCTTACCCTTATTTTCATCTCAAATTGTTACAATGTATCAACTAAATGAGTAACTGGATTGGCACTCTACCAATCCTACTCAATATTCTGAAAGCCAAATTTCATTTGGAGAGTCCAGTTCAATTTCCCCATTATAGGAATTTAATCTTTGTTATTGCAATGCTTCCTTTCATTTAAAAAAAAGTTTTAATGGTATGTGAACAGCAATTAAATCCAAACTTATGTTTACAGTTAAATAATTTCTCTCACCTGATTAATTAATAAAGAATTTAGAAGATTCTAAAATGTCTTCCTTCACTGATTATTATCCATTCATTCACTTAGACTTTGGGAATGAGAACTACAAAACGATTGAAGTTTTTGAACCTTTTAAACATTTCATCTATTATATATGAACAGAAATTATTAATTAAAGGCTAGATGAACAGTTTCTACTCCTTTATAAATTACTTTGTACCATGTGGAGGTGAATCAAATGTGTTAATCATTTTTTAGTGCTCCTACTATAGTGACCATGTGCCAGAATAAGTAGAACTAAATTTCTAAGATGTCAGTTTCATAAACTGTCATCCTTTCCCTGTGTTACATTGTTGCATTTTTTCTCATTATCTCATTTTTGGTCATTCTCGCTTATTCTCTTTTTCTTTCAGTTTCACTCTCTCTTTTTAGGCGCATTGCATTCATCTCTCCCCTACTCAATGTCCATCTAGGTATGCTTTCCTCATCTTGTTTGTTGCACTTTTCTCTTTACATCTTGTTGTTTGTCTCTCTTTGCTCTCCTCATCTCTTTGGCTGTCTCTCTGCTCTCCTCACCTCTTTGGCTGTCTCTCTGCTCTCCTCATCTCTTTGGCTGTCTCTCTGCTCTCCTCACCTCTTTGGCTGTCTCTCTGTCTCATCTCTTTGGCTGTCTCTCTGCTCTCCTCACCTCTTTGGCTGTCTCTCTGCTCTCCTCATCTCTTTGGCTGTCTCTCTGCTCTCCTCATCTCTTTGGCTGTCTCTCTGCTCTCCTCACCTCTTTGGCTGTCTCTCTGCTCTCCTCATCTCTTTGGCTGTCTCTCTGCTCTCCTCACCTCTTTGGCTGTCTCTCTGCTCTCCTCACCTCTTTGGCTGTCTCTCTGCTCTCCTCACCTCTTTGGCTGTCTCTCTGCTCTCCTCATCTTGTCTATATCTTTTTACTCTTCTCATTTTGTTGTCTGTCTCTTTTTGCTCTCTTCTTGTCTGTCTCTTTTTTCTCTAACTTGTGTCTCACTCTTTGCTATTGTCTGTCACTCTTTTGTCACCTCCTCTTGTCTGTATCTTTTTACTCTTCTCATTTTGTTGTCCCTCCCCTTCTTGTTGTCTCTTTTTTCTCTAACACTCACTTTTGCTGTTGTCTGTCACTCTTTGTCACCTCATCTTGTTTTCTGACACACTTTCCTCTCCTCATCTTGTTTTCTGACACACTTTCCTCTCCTCATCTTGTTGTCTGGGGTTGAGGCTTTTGATAAGCCTAAAAACTTCTTTTGCTGAAATGAGTATATGACAGATCGTACTCAGTGAGATGTGGGAAGTTGGAGACGATATGGCCTTTGTCATCTAACACTGAGTTTGAGGCAAAGAGCTTCGCCTTGTCTGTCGTGGAAGATATGACCTTGGGGCCATTTATAATAATGGACACAGCCACTTTGATTCTGTTAATAATTTGGTTGGTGATCTTCCAGAATTCACAAGATACAATTTCTTTATTTTTAACCTTGGCCTAGACAGATTGTGCATAGCTGCCATTTGTGTTTTCTAAGATTCTCTTACAGCTATTGCAGGCAGTTCTGAGGGCTAGACTACACTGCTCCTTGTGATAGATTTTGAAGTAATGGTTCCAGTGAGCTACAGTTGTAGTACATTCAGGAGTGAACCAAGGCTGACTGTTTGGGTTTTGCTGGAATTTTTTGCTGGAGTATAAAACACTCCATTCCAGAAAGAATCCATTTGGTAATTAGGGGGTAGCATGTTTGAAGAAGGTTGGGAGAGGAGCTTCTTTCATAAAAGACTGAAAGCTGCCCCAATCTGCCTCTGCATAACGAAAAAACCATTCTATGAAATGGTAAATCAAGAGATGTCATTAGTTTGGAGTGAATCTGGACACTGACAATCTGATGTGCCAATGTTAGAAAAAGGTTGGAGTTTCACCTGCTGTTCTATCACATCCGGGACTTGGGTGGGTTCAATGAGCTGGGTTAGTTCATATGCGATGGAAAATTCCATGCAATATCTGTCTTCTGCATTGGTTTTGTTAGAGTCACATTGAAGTCACTGCATATGTGAAAGTTGGCCAAATTTAAATTTGGTGAGGATATTCTCAATCCTGTCTGATATTTGATTGGAGATTACTGATCCTTCATCCTGAGGAAGATATAGGGCAAAGATAAATGTAGTACTATGGATAAGTGCTACATGCAAACACACATACAGGAGTTCAGGGTCCTCGTTTTTTGTGTCCCTGCCACAGGGAAACTTGTTCTTGATATAGGCACCGGGCACATGACCGTGGCAATTTAGATGATTGTATTTTGTTATAATGGGTGAGTCGCCTGGGATTGTGAGCTCCTGCAATGGGATTAAGGCATTGATACTCATTTCAGGACATGTGTTTTTGTTGTTTTTGGTTATCCAGAAAACCAAAAGATTCACTTGAACTGCAGCTGAGAAATTGCAATAAACATTTTACAATGATGTACATCATTTATTTACTTTTTTTTTTTTTTTTTTTTTTTACAGACCGTTTCTCCTCTTCTCCTTGGAATTCTCTTGGAATTCTTTCCTGTCACAACACAGAAGCACAATATTGGTTTTGATCATAAGTTGAAAAAGAGAAAAGTCTTCTGCACCAGCTGACCTACAGCTTTTCTCTCTTAAATCATTCACTTTAAATTGATGTCTGTATATGAGGAAAACCAAATGGGTGTGAGTCTCTCTTGCACTCTATAAATTGTTGTGCATATATGGGAGGAGACAGATCTCAGTCTCACTGTTTTTGTCTGCCTCATCTGAAAGTAAATGCAGTTTGCAGTGCTTTTAGATTATTGTGCTAAACTGCAAATTCTCTATTTGCATGCAATTCTGAAAATTTCTTTGACAGCTTTTGCTTATATGGTCGATGGTATTTGGCACTACATTGACCTACCACCAACATACCATTTCCTTGTGTGATGGAATTTCTTGTTTTAGTCCAAGTTTGGTTGATTATACTAATGTTGATATTCATTTCCATTTGAGGATTGCAGATTTCAGAACAGTAGATAAGAAAAGCTTTGTGTTTCTGTTTTCTTATTGTGAAATATTTATCCAGTTGATCAATTAAATAATGACAGTTTTCACCTTTTAAACATCAGGGAAGAAATGAATGCTTCCTTCAAGATCTTCAACAATTTTGCAAAACAACCAAGGTAATGGCAAAAATTTGAAAATGGTTACCCATTAGTTATTTATCAGGCCAAATATTACTGAACTCATTCTACCCTATTCAGTTGACTTCACCTAGTGAATTACATTTTGTTTTTGTTTCACTATAGAGCCGATCAACTCTAAGGAGTTTAATTAACCTGTATTTAAACCAGCAGCAATTTTTATTTTATTTACATACCTTTGTGGAAACTGCCTAAACTTTTAGCAGGTGTGTTTTTTAAAAAGCATGATTTGGGATTTATTTTTTATTAAGGAAAGGTTTTTATAAAGATTATCATTCTTGCTGGTTATCTAGTTTTTATTTATTTGTTTATTTTTCACCCCAAACTAGGCAATAAAGGCACTAAGGCAAGAGATTACTGAGTGTGAGAGAATATGAAAAAAAAAAACATTATTATGGATAAAGAACAATAAAAGAACAGGAATTAAGAAGACAATATGATGATTGACATTGTATTTAAATTTTTAAAGATCAAAATTGACTGGAAAGCAAGAAGCTGGAAGACAGTTCCACAAGCAAGAATTGCAATAGAAGAAACTATTAACATAGAACTTATGGTTACATTTAACCATTTCAGCTCTAAAATGACGGGACATTGCTGCCAATTTAGTACTGCACTTAAATTAATAAAGTCTAGGTACTATAGACAAGAGCTCTTCAGAACAATTACCATGAAAATAATTATAAGAAAGAGACAGGGAAGCTATGTTATGTCAGTGAGAATGTGACTGAAGACGAGATGCCTGGTTAGGACCAATAACATTGCAAATTCTTCTTTGTATTTTATCAAGAATCTCTAAATATATGGCAGAAGCATCATACCACATGTGGCAGCAATATTCAATGCATGAACTAATAGCAGACTTTTAAATGTGTAAGATAGATTCTGGTGAGAAAAATTGTTTAGTACGACACAATGAACCAACTCTCTTAGTAGCAGACTTAATGTCAGGGGAAAACTTTAGCACAAGAAGGTGCAACGAGTCACTCTCCTGGAGGTTAGCATCAGCTATGTTGATAGAAAGCAAAAAGAGTTCTTTCAGATGATTAAGAGAGAGCAGTTTCGTTTTGAGGGCATTAAAATTAACAAGCCATTCCTTGCTCCAGTTAACAAGAAATTGTAGGTCATTTTTGAGATCAGCTGTCAGTTCGACCTTTTATCGAACTGATCAGACTTACTATTAAGACAGGATTAATAGTTGTGTCATCAGCATAGATACTGAGTCCAGAACTGATGACATGAAGAAGGTTGTTGATTAAAATTAGGAACAGTGTAGGTCCAAGGATAAAGCTCTGGGGGACACCTGCATAATACAAAAAGATCTAGAAGAGTGGCCATTCAAGACAACTTTCATTTTGTGATTTGATAAGAAATTTTGAATGAGTTAAAAGATCTAGTAGAAAGATTGCTGACAGATTACTTGAAATATTTTTTATTTTAGATATTTTCTTCAATTCTACAATTAATACAAGACAGTAGAACTGGAAGAATATGTTGGTTAATGTAGGAGCGAGTTGCATAAACTTAGCCCCTCATAAACTGTTGCTCTTCAACAGTAGACTATTTAGTGTAAGGCATTACACTTGTTCCTGATCCTTTCCCTTCTTCAGTTCTTCTCCCCATCACCTGTCTATGCCCTACCCCTAACAGCACTTTACTCTCTAATATTTGTGCTTTTCAAGATCATTTGATCTCTCTTCTTGTGGTGCTAAATCCACTTGTATGATCTTTGATTTTTCTAAGCAATTTTTATTTTTTCATTTCTGACACTGTCGAGGTTGTATTGTTTTTCACTTGTAGATAATGACATAAAAGAGTAATTCTGTTTTTCAGTTTGTGCTGTTAATTGATGCCAAGTTGTTTATTTTATGTCTAGATTCTTGGAATCCATCAAGGTTTCATTCCTTTTTTTTATGCTCAGTCACTAACTTTAGACTTGTGTTATATACAGTTGTCCGCCTTTCCGTTTTTTCATTTCCTATTCAGTGACTTTTATTTTAACAAATGTTCCAACTATTGACAGAAATGGCACCACTAACCAAAGTAAAGTCAGAAAATATCATTCTTTTACAGTTGTAAGTTTATTAAGTTGGCAGTGCGGGTGATGAATGAAGCCAAAAAAAAAAAGAAAGTGATTGTCTGTCAGTATATTTTCTGATAAATAAATCCATTAAACTAGTGATTACAGACTTTCTTCTCTTTGACTTCACACAAATTTGTTTATTATTACATTATTTCTCTCTGTTTTCTTTGTAGAAAGGTTGGCAAGATCATCACGTGACATCACTTAAGGAAGATGTCAATTTTATTTGATAAAGTTTATCTCAGTAGTGGAGCATTTTACTTTTGTCAGCCAATCTGTTGAGACTTTATCTGCTGGAAAAGTTACAATTTGAAAACTTGATCAAAAGCTATTGATAAATTTCAAAAGGAAGAAAAATGTACTATTTCCAAAATGGGATCATGTTTATCTGATGGGTCAGCGTATTAAAAGCAAGATTGTTTTACAGTCATATTAAATTGTATTAAAGACTTGCCGCTTAAGAATGTTGATAAAGAAAAATGGCAAATATTTACAGACTTTATAATAAAATGCCACTTGCATATTAAATAGTATAAATTACTTTAGTTAAAATGTGCGTAATGAGTTTTCTCCCCAAAATGTCAATACATTTGTTTGCTTAGAGCAACCATATTTAATATATATTTAATTGAACACTTTCATAAGGAACAAATGCTAAGAGAAATTTTAATAAAATATATGGCAATTGGAAAAATATGTAATTGAAAAAAACATCTTCCATAGTTCATCATCAGTAAATGTTATACAACTTTTATTTTTCTGTACTTTTTGATTTTTTAAAAGAAAATCTAAACATAAAATGCTTCTCTTTCTAAACATGATAATTATAATTAATCTTTAATTGAAAAGTGTTTGATTATCTTTAGGCTTATTGATCAGACCCCCTCTGTTAAGAAAGTTTGTAAAAACCTTTCTCTTTCTACATATATTGGTATAAAAGTAGACTTAAATAAAATTGATTAAAAATAATAAAATGCAATCTGATTGGTGAATTCCAAATGCTGTATTGTATTTATATTTTCTTGTTTATTTTCAATACATATAAATGTAGTACTATGGATAAGTGCTACATGCAAACACACATACAGGAGTTCAGGGTCCTCGTTTTTTGTGTCCCTGCCACAGGGAAACTTGTTCTTGATATAGGCACCGAGCACATGACCGTGGCAATTTAGATGATTGTATTTTGTTATAATGGGTGAGTCGCCTGGGATTGTGAGCTCCTGCAATGGGATTAAGGCATTGATACTCATTTCAGGACATGTGTTTTTGTTGTTTTTGGTTATCCAGAAAACCAAAAGATTCATCACTTGAACTGCAGCTGAGAAATTGCAATAAACATTTTACAATGATGTACATCATTTATTTACTTTTTTTTTTTTTTTTTTTTTTTTACAGACCGTTTCTCCTCTTCTCCTTGGAATTCTCTTGAATTCTTTCCTGTCTAACACAGAAGCACAATATTGGTTTTGATCATAAGTTGAAAAAGAAAAAGTCTTCTGCACCAGCTGTCCTACAGCTTTTCTCTCTTAAATCATTCACTTTAAATTGATGTCTGTATATGAGGAAAACCAAATGGGTGTGAGTCTCTCTTGCACTCTATAAATTGTTGTGCATATATGGGAGGAGACAGATCTCAGTCTCACTGTTTTTGTCTGCCTCATCTGAAAGTAAATGCAGTTTGCAGTGCTTTTAGATTATTGTGCTAAACTGCAAATTCTCTATTTGCATGCAATTCTGAAAATTTCTTTGACAGCTTTTGCTTATATGGTCGATGGTATTTGGCACTACATTGACCTACCACCAACATACCATTTCCTTGTGTGATGGAATTTCTTGTTTTAGTCCAAGTTTGGTTGATTATACTAATGTTGATATTCATTTCCATTTGAGGATTGCAGATTTCAGAACAGTAGATAAGAAAAGCTTTGTGTTTCTGTTTTCTTATTGTGAAACATTTATCCAGTTGATCAATTAAATAATGACAGTTTTCACCTTTTAAACATCAGGGAAGAAATGAACAACAATGATCAGAATTTGTGGTGGAGAAAAAATAATGCATGCATATATGTAAAATGTTTATGTATTTATAGAGTCTCTGTATGTGTTAATATTTTATTCATGTTATTTTACTATCTCTAGTTACATTCTCTGCCAAATGATTCAATATGCAATTCAGCTTTTGCCTTCCTTGACTACACAACCTGTTGAGAAGGGTTTATAAAGAATGAATTTAAATCTCATTAAAAATGAAAATATCCAAGGAAAGTTAACACAAAATGTTCCATGCTCAGTATCGCCTATGGTCACAGGTACCAGACCCCACGAGTTGACACGTCTGTTTTTACAGTAGTCTGTACTAATTCAAACTGGCCACACTCCTACATCACGTGACCAGCCTTAGCCTTCATAAATGATGTCCCATAAAACAAGTTACCATGAAACTTCTTTGCCCTTTTGAAAAAAAACTTCTTTTTTTCTGTTTTAATAGCCATGAGCAAGAGATGAGTGACCAAGGCATTCACTGTTGTAGACCCCGCCCTCTTGCCTTACAGTGATTATTCTGCCCCCTTCAACTCAACTTTCTTATTCTTTAGTCTTTCAACCTTGTTGGTATTCTGATTATTCTCCCTGAATTTTTTCTCACTGAATCATACCGATGAGTTGCCTTCGATCTCCTCTCATTGTTTAGGTTTATAGCTGGTGGAGGTGTTAAATTTGCAGCTTTGGACTGATTTTCTGAAGTAGTGCCTAGATGATCACCTTGGACTGAATATAGTTGAATCCCCACAGATAGACTTGGGGGTGCTTCTGCTTTTTTCTTCAAGTTGATTTGGTTTTGTTGATGCAGCTCTCCATTGACATTGATGTGGTATGACCTTGTATTGAAGTTTTTGTGTTTCCTCTTTTTCCTGTGGGATTCTAGCTCTCATCTGGAACTCCTCTTTGTTTATGCTGACCAGGCCCATTTTTTTGTCTGACCATTGTGCTTAGGAGTGAATGCAAATCATCCCTCACAATCATAAAATTCACGGCTTACTGCATTCTGTTTTTAGGGTTTGTCCATTTTACACGGCACGTTTCATTTCTACCCCATTTCACATGACCAGGATCTTGTCAGAGACATCACATTTCTCTCGTGAATATGTTTAGAACTTAACCAATTCACTGAAGCTCCACTATCAAGTTGAAACACAATTATTTCCTTGTTCACCACCATTTTAATTTGAATTGTCCTATGTGACAGACTGCCAGCTTTCTCCTCAGTCACTGCCATATCCATATGCTCAAAGTCCAACTGATTACTGCTACTATCTTCACTCAGTTGCTGTGTGCACACTGTCTGAACATGTTTCTTCATCGACCTGCATTTTGCCATGCAATGATTCTTGCCTAGGCATTTTAAACATATTTTTCCATAAGCTAGACATTGTTCCATTCATGTTAATGGCAAGAAGTACGGAACTGGCATTCTTTTCTGAGTTTTGATTTTCTCCACAGAATCTTCTTCGTCTTTGTAAAGACCTTGTGTGCTACTTCTGATCTTAAAACTCAAGTCAATTGAACAGCGTTCCCCATTAGTTTGAAAATGTCAGTTCACCTCTGTGCTTCTGCTTCACTTTTAGCAGTTCTGCTTGTGTTTGTGCTTGAGGATCCTCTATACCCAAAACAATTAGATTATGTAGTATTGGCACCATGCACTTGTTGCAAAAGTCACATGATTTATTAGTGTCTGCACATAGTTACAAATGCTTTCATGCTTTTGGACGACTCTACTTGTTTCCTCATGTGAAACACAAAACATTCATGTGTGACATTAATTTCACCAACTACATACCTGTCGAATGCTTTGAGAATTTCTTTGGTGTCCGCTGTTTGTTCATTGTGGGGAAAAGAAAATCTGTTATACACCTTCAATGTATCATACCCCAACGTATGGAGAAGTAATACAGTTTGGTACTGTTGTTGTTATCTGTGCAAATAATGACATAGTTATACCACTTCTGTTTGAACAGTTTCCAATTTTTAGCTAAATTCATGCACAAGGACTCGGGTAGGGGTCGTATGCCAGCTACTGGCCACTGAGCATGTAGTTCATTTCTAGTCAGGTCAGCCATCTTCAAAACCCACATGGTTGGAATTTTCACAATATTCACAAAGGAATATGAAAAATAACACTTGACCTCATGAATTGACATTCAGTAGTTTATGCTAATTCAAATTGTTTGCACTCCTACATCATGTGACCAGTTTAGCCTATGTAAGCAGTGTCCCATAAAATAAGTTCCCAGGAAGTACCAAACAAGTGAAAAGTTATATACTAACAACTTGTTCCCACTATTTAGTAATAAAATATTCCATTGTTTTGCTAAGCTGAAGTATGTTTGCTTCAGGTGGCATTGAATAATGACATAAGTTATCATAACAACTGAATATTTCATTAAAATTTGATTTCAGATTATGTAACTGGTAAATATATAAAACTGCATTGCATTTTATTGTTTAATTAACTATCAGTAACAAAGAAATCTTGTCTATATTTTGGGAGGGACACTGTATTTTGTGTTGTAGCATTTGGGAAAATGCATGTGGCTATATATGTATGTAATTATTCATCATTTATGTATAGGCCATAACCTCAAGTCTTACTGTTCTGATTGAATCAATAAGGTTTTTTATTTACAGTGCAAGATGAAACAATTGACTAAATTTAAGCAGACTGCTTTTACTGTGTAGGACTTTGCATATATCTTTGTTAGAATGTTTGTGGTACTTGATGAAAGAAAATTCTCCTTTCTCGTCAGCATCTGTCAGGACCCCAGAATTCAGTGTATTTCTGAAAGGCTGTAAGTTTGAATGACCTTAAGAATAAAGATTTGATTTTTATGAAAAGGAAAAGGTTATTGCTCTGCAAAAGAATGTTTGTGTTATTTAATTCTTTTTTATTTCCCTTCACCACATGTCAACTGATCCTGTCTTTGACAAATCACCAATAGCATATTGATGTTCTTTCTTTTCTTCCACAAGTTATCATATCTGAACAGATGGCTGATCTCTTTTCTGCTCTATGCTATGTCCTGAGCTTTGTCCATTAAGAGATCAATCTCCATATATTCAAATACATTACAACCTTTTCTGCAAAAGGCAATATTTTGTACAGACTAAAAAGAAAAACATTCAAAGCATGCTTAAATCATCTACTGCCAACCAAAAAAAAAAAAAAAATAGAGAAATTATGTATGTTAGTTTGCGAGTAAGTGTGAATATTGGTAATTATGTAGAGTCTAATGCATTTTGATCAATATTGATTGGTTAAAGACTATTGATCTTTAATTCCACAAGAAAAATAATTTGGTGTCATTACCACATGCTATTGATTCCCTTTGGAGTTAAACATTATCTTGTTAACACAGGCTAATCATTGTTGTCAGGAGTTTATGTCGACTGATATTTCCCATCGTTGGACATAAAACTAGGAATCATTTTTGTTCTTTTTAGCTACTTATGACTTTGTAGCCTGTAAACCAGTAACAATAGAAAGTGATGTCCTCAAAAGGAGAATCAACTGGACAATTCAGGTGAGAAAAGATGTGACATTTGTCTAGATCATTAAACGCCTAGATGTTTAATCATCATATTTGGCAGCAGTATTATTGTTTCACTGTACCTGTATTTGTCTTAAATCTGTGTAGATATAGCAACTGTTGCTATCAGGATGGATTGGCCAAACAAAGGTGTAGGGTCGGTGATGGGAAACAAAGTTAGCAAACAAGTCTAAATTTCAGTTACTTCTTGTTCTTCTATGTATTGTAGCTCTTCAGGAAGTAGGCAATCATTGGTCTCCACCTTTTCCTATATTTGTAGCTCTTCGTAAGTTTTAGTTGATTATTTCTACTTAATATGAATGGCCTTGGGAAAGGCATGAATCCACTTCACCTTGCGCTCTGTCCATTTGCTAAATATCCTGATAAACTTTTTTGTTATTTGCATGTCACAAAAGTTGAGGAGGGGAAAAATACTTTGGAACATCACTCTCCCATGATTACCTGTTCAGATAGTAGCAGCAAAATATTGTTACCTTCATTGGGAACCTAAGGTCACCACATGAATATATAGAAGGATATATGAAAGAAACTGGATAAATATGATTATTTAAAATATTTTCAGTATTCTTCTCAAAACAAATTAGAAAGTTGCAAATATTATTGACACAAGTGTAAAGATGTAAAGAATTTAGAAAAATGTTTCTTTTTAACTTTTGTTTTGTCTAGTATTTTCTGAGATTTCTTCATATCACCTTCCAACATTTTAAATGTTTTAATGTTTTGTTTTTGTTCAAGTAACAAAATAGAAGATATATTTCCATCATCTTAACCCCGTCAGCAAGAAACAAATGAAAATTCCGGGCAAAAGAATATTAAGATAATTTGTGGTGATATCTGATGAAAAAAAGAAAAGAAAAAAAAAGTGAGTGAAAGTAGCAGTTACTATTGGTTTTAATTTGGAATTAAAATCAGATGGATGACTGGGGTGGCTGGAGTTTTGGTAATTTTTCTTGCTTCTGTTGGTTTCTTTCCAACTAAATCTGCTCCAGAAAATTTTGTTAATTACTCTAATTAGAAAGAAGAAAAACAACAATCTAAAAATGTTGCAATCAAAGAGAGAATATTGCTAATATTCATTGATTACAATTGGCAATTAATAAATTTATATGCTGGATTAATAAATTTTCATTTAAAATCAAGAAGCCTCTCATTTTTTTTAATTTTTTTTTTTTAAGCAATAGATAACAATGAAAAAGTTGGTCTCTGAAAAGTAAGGATTGAATATTATTATTTAAACAAATACAAAAATAATAATGTTGATTATTATTAACTAGCTGAATTACCTGCACCTTGCTGCATGTCACAGATTTTGTTTTTGTAAGAAAATGTTGATTGATTTTAAATCATTATAATTTGTAGAGAAAAATGATGCATTTCAATATTACTCCATGATCTTGTTGATGTGACCTCCATCTTCTGGCTTTCTCCTTCTATATTTTGGATAGGGGTCATTCCCTTGTTCAAATTTAAATTTAACTCAAAGGGAAAATTTTTTCAGCTGAGGAGAACAAATATGTAATTGCTTATTGTGCTAATGGGCATTGTTTTATATTTTCAGGATACCAGATGAGTACCCACCGAGTATGCAGAAAATTAAGCTGGATAAGCAGGTAAGAATTTTTTTTTTCATTTTGTTCATTTATTTATGCAGAATTTTCCTATGTTTATCTGTTTTTAGACAATGGAAGAAAATGCTTTATGTATCATGGAGTTATATGAAAATGCTTTATGTATCATGGAGTTATATGAAAATGCTTTATGCATCATGGGTTTATATGAAGTCTCTGTTCCTGTTTATTCTACTTACTTGTGTGAAAATCTTCACACTTGTTCCTCACTGGTAACTTAAAAATGACATTTCAAAATCCAGTCAGAAGTTCATTATTAACACATTTTCATTTTTCTGGTGTTTGCTTTTATTTGGTAAAATGAAATTTTAATATTGAAATATTTCTTTCCAGGTTTCAAATGACTGCATGCTTTCTTAAAGGACAGGGATTTTTCTCATGTCAGTCTCTTTGGTCTTACAAAAGTACCAATACAGAACTAATAACAATAGATACATTTTTTTTCTTAAGCATAATACCCCAAGCAAGGTGGGAGTGCTACTAGCATGCAAGGGGTTACAGATTATGAAAGTAAGAGTAAAGAGGGGTGTTTGAAGAAAGGATAAAGAAAAGGATGGAGATCAAGATCAAGGCATCAGAAGATGTCAATAGACATTACATTTGAATATTTGAAGATTATAATTATCAGGGAAGCAAGTAAAAGGAAGGCAGTTCCACTGTTGGGAAGTGCAAACAAAGAAACTGTTAGAGTAAAAGAGGCGGTTACATTTGACTGTTTTGACAATAAAAGGGTGGGACCGAGATGCCAACCTAGTAGCACGCTTAAATTCATGCAGTTTCAGAAATTTCAATCTATTATATTGACAGAGATTTTTCTAAAACTTGGTACAGCCCCAAATTACTTGATAATGGAAATTATAAAATAATATGAATTAATATTGCTCTATGGCAAATGTAATGTTTTTTTCTTTTCTTAATTTGACATTTAATACAAACACCCTTTGAAAATAAAATAGTATTGACCTAATTCTATAATATTCTAAAAGATAATGAAGAAGACTATATATGAGTGCCACATGCCACACTAACTCATTTGTTCTGCAACCATGGCAGAAATGGCAGAACTTGACGAAGCTGTGAATGAAGATAGTTGATGCGTACAAACAAGATGATGGATATACAACATTTTCCAAGCATTTAAATGTTCTTAGATTGAAAATTCATAGCATTATCAAGAAGTACAACAAGACTCATTGTATTGAGAATAAATGAAGTATTGACAGAAAACAGTTAATTTCTGAAAGAATGGAAAAGAAAATTATTAGAGATGTCTTGAAGAATCCTCGCTTAACAACAAAGGACTTTGTCAATAATGTAAAGCCATCAGGGTTGAATGTATCAATGAAACATTTGCTAAGGGATTTCATCAAGCAGGTCTATGAGCTTGTCACCCAAGGAAAACTCCCTAAACACATAAAATGTAGATTAGCTTATGCTAGAAGGTATCTAGAACATGGGAATAAGTATTGGAACTTTGTTTTATGGTCATATGAAACCAAACTTGGATTATTTGGTCACATGAACTCCTGTTATGCATGGAGGAAAATGAATGAAGCTCACAAACTAAAAAATTCCCTCCTTAGAATTAGGCACGGTGATGTGAGTATTCTGCTATGGGGATGTTTTGCTGCTTCTGGACCAGGAGAACTAGTGAGAGTATAGGATATCATGGATAAAGAGCAGTATTTGGTTATTCTTAAAAATAATATAACACAAAGTGCGTGAAAGATGTCTGGGAGGGGGGCATTGGACATTCCAACATGACAATGACTCAAAACACATGTCACAAATTTTTACAAAATACTTAGATGACAGCAAAATTAAGGTAATGGCATACCCTGTACAATGTCCTGACCTAAACCCCATTGAAAAATTTATGGGCATATTTGAAGAAAAAAGTAAGAGAAAGAAGTCCTTTGAATTTGGAAGAACGAGAAGTTATTGCCAAAGAAGAATGGAGCAAAATACATTATCAATGTGTGTTTCTTGTCATAATCAAAAATAAAAGTTAAACAACTGATTATTGAGGCAAGAGGGCCAATAATTATGTCCTGTGGTAAATGTTTTTTGGGTTTTTTTTTTTATTATTGTTTGACATTAAAATAATTTTTTTTTGTGTATATCACTGCACATTCTTTCAAATTTCATCATTTGTAAAAAAAAAAAAAATGCACATGAAGTTTTGCTGAAAATTTGCTTTATTTGTAATCATAGAAGTGGATTTTGATCAATTCTGTTCAGAACTGTATGTATTAAGCAATTGTGTGACAAAGTGGAAAAATCATGTAACAATTTTCATCCTCTTTTTCCACCTTGTCATTTATTGCTTAACATTGTTCTTATATATAGAAATTTACATATCATATTCACCCATATATATATATATATATATATATATATATATATATATATATATATCTCTCTCTTTCTATATATATATATATATATATATATATATATATATATATGTATATGCATTTTGTTATCGCTCTTGACAACGAATGTAGGGCACAGCTGGCAGTAGGCTTGGTGTGCATAAGTTAGAAGAAGGAGCCTTTTACAACATCATCCTATGTGGCGACAGGGCTATATATATATATATATATATATATATATATATATGTGCAAACCCCCTAACCCCTAATATTTAAAAAATAATTGTCTCTTTTTTCCAGATAATCAACAACACTTAATTAAACTATATATTCATTAAGAAAAACCCTTATTAAATGAATTACAACCACTTTCAAAACTTTTATCAAGCTGGTATAAAAATATTAATTAATAATTAAGATGTGCAAAAGTTAAACCTTACATTTACAATCTCGATTTTTGTTTTACATGGTTGCCAGTGCAAATAATTTTTTGAAAGTGGTTGTAATTGATTTAATAAAGGTTTTTCTTAATGAATATATACTTAATTAAGATTTGTTGGTCATCTAGAAAAAAAAGAGACAATTTTAAAAAATATTATCTTAGGGGTTCAGTTACTTTTGAACAGCACTAATATACACACACACACACACACACACACACACACAAATAAAAAAAAAAAGAACAGATGGAGTAAAATTCCACTGTTTATAGCATATTTTTAAAAATAAATTGCTCAATACAAAGTAGAGCAATATATTATTATTTTTATTATAAAAGATTATAATAAAAACATGTTGAAATCACTACACAAAAGCTTTCATGTTTCAATATTATGATTCTACTCCTTCATGCAATAGCAAGTAACTGGTGATTAAATGATTTTTAAGGAAATTTAAAACCAAAGTTTTACCTCTTTAAATTTCCTTAAAAATCATTTAATCACCAATCACTTACTATCAGTATAATCATTGAAACATGAAAGCTTTTGTGTAGCGATTTCAACATATTTTTATTATAATCTCTTATAATAAAAATAAAATATATATACACGCACACAATTTTGCATTACTTTTGTGCTTTTACTTTTGTGTCTCGTTGTTCACTATTGTTCAAGGATCACTAACCCAACACAAACATCTTCTGTTTATATTCCCTGTTTGTCTCTGCTTGCTGCATTAATTAAAAAGAAAAATCATTGTATTTGTTCATCTACTGCTGGAAGAATTTAGTCAATCACTTTACCTGACTTGAAAAACGTCTATTTCCATAAAAGACATGTCTGTGCAAGTCTTGAGTTGTTATGTCCACTTCTTGACACAGTCTATTGTTTTGGGCAAAACTTTCTCTCCTGCAAAGCTTTTCAGTTAGCCCTACCCACTTAATGATGAGACAGTTTTTTTTTTTTTGCTAGAACTTTAACAGTGTTTTCATGAAAAATCTGTTTTCACTTGCTTTATTATTTTTAAATTGGCAATTTCACTTTGTTTTCTCAAATTCTGGCACAACGTATGTTCACTGTTACATATATTTTCAGACTATTATCTTCATCATCATTGTCCAAAGAGCATACTGACTTAAATGTTAAAAGCAACAAATGTGAATGCGCTAGTTGTAAAAAATACATAGAATAATGAAAGGGTTTCTTTCATATCAGAACTACAGACAATACAGGAAAGCCAGAGGTTATATCAATTGAAACATGTTGTGTTCAAAACGACAAAGCCAAAGATAATAGTCTAAAAAAATAAATAGCATTGAGGTAGTTTTAGTTTTTATCAAAGATCAACTTGCAATTTCATTCTTTCATTGTCACAAGATGAAATGATATTTTGACAAATAAAACAGTAATGATTCCAAGTGTTTGATTTAAATTTACATCTGATCTCAAAAAAAGGTCTTATTTACTTGCCATGATAATTTAGTGCAATTATCTATTTTTACCAGAAGGTATATAAAATTTCAATATCAATTTTTTGAAAACAAATGGCTTTTCTAATTTTAAATAAACAGCTTTGTAAAAATTGCAAACTATTATTTTAAGGAATGTTGGAAGCCTGGTTAGTTTTTACTATACTTAGTATAGTCAGGTACAAGGCCATAAAGTCGATTTATTTGTTTATATTTCTGCAATGAGGTATTGTAACTATTTACCCTATTTACCTTGTTTAGACTATTATCTTCATCTTTATTGCCATATTCACAACACTTCGATGGTTGTATGCTCCAGCCTTCTTCAGGTGATATATGTTGAAATTTCAAACTGAATGCTTTATTTCATTCACTGGAGTAGATTGTTCTAGTTCTCGGTGAATAAAAAGTGTTGGTTGAATTAATCCAGTGACTTGACCCAAAGAGTTATGAGTTCAATACCTGGCCACAGCAGAGGTGAACAAAAACTTGGTGAGTTGAGTTACTAAAGGGAAATAACTGGAATTAAGATAACCACAAAAGGCATGGCACGTGGAACTAGAACAATCTACCCTAGAGGATGAAATAAAATGTTTGATTTGGAATTTCAACGTATATCACCTGAAGAAGACTGGTGAGTACAACCGCCGAAATGTCATGAATATGACAATAAAGATGAGGATAATAGTCTGAACAAT